GGATCCATAGGCATTGAAAGAGGCTAGGACAGGTGCATGTGAAGAGGCATCGGCAAGTCAGCGACGACGACGACGACGACGACGACACGGACAGTAGATGCCAGTTGGACCGCAAGTGGAATAGGAAACCGCGGTGGATGAAGGAGCCTTCCTGCAAGCCAACAAGAGCAATTTCCCTCGTCTACTATTCGCTTGGGCCACTACCCTGCCAGAGGTGGGGTATCGGGGAGTGTCGAAGTGGATATTGTGTCAGTCATCAAGAGTGCGAGGAACCAGGGGGAGGTGCTGAGGACAGTTTCACCCCAGGAGGGGAGGCAGAGTGGTGTAGTGTACGCTTCGGCCCCACGGTGTGGTCAAGAAGAGAGAGTAAGGCAATATGAGTCCTTGAAGAAAGGCTGAGACAAGTCACAATGTACTCACAAACAGGTCGGGCGTAAGGGGAAAAACAGGGTCTTTATATATCCTTGTCCTGCTCGTCCTGTTCTCCCGTTGGTCCGTTCGGCGGCGCTGCAATGGAGACGGAAATCTCGTGAGCGGATTGGCTCTCAGTCCCCGGCGTGTCATTCAATGCCCGCGTGACGCCACACAGCGGCAAGTCGCACCCTCGGTCACCTGACGTCGCCACCATGGCGTGCTTCTCACCTTCGACCAATGCATCAACACCAATATGCCTGCTATCTGTCACTCCGCTACACTACCCACCCCCACCCTCACCTAAGACCGAAGCTGCTGCCCTCAGCTTCTCACCTACTAATATCGCAGCCATCTCAACCGTGATGTCTACTGGGGGTGGTTCACAGCACATTAGGGGCTCGTCATCAGCTTCCTCCATCGACGAAAGGTAGGGTTTCAGCTTGTGAAATTAAAGTGAACGGTAAACCCTTGACCTGGACTATCGTCGAGATTACGAATTACACACGTCGCGTCACTAAGGCCCGCGTCGACCACATATGGTCCTTCCCACGTATGTTGCAACTTCCTGCTTTCGCCCGCTGCATTCGTCGTAGCCATCCACACTAGGTCACCTGCCTCGACAGGGGAACCATGGGCCCGCTTATCATAATAGCCCTTTTGTCGCTCGTGAGCTAGGGCTAGCTGTGATCGGGCTGAGTCGAAAGAAAGAAAGACTCAGTTGGCATCGTACTTCAGCAACGTATTCGCAAGGTCCTACATAATCCGGCTCTCGAGGTGGGAGTGCCACGACGTCAGCCGGCAGCCGTACCTCATGTGCGAGGGTCATTACTGCTGGGGTTCGACCAGTGGAGGAGTGGACAGCCGACCTATATGCTAGTAGACATGCTGGCGAGGCGTCGTCCGACTGATTTAAGGCATATTCATCGAATTGCAGTCTTATGAGCATCTTGTTATTTCGTTCGACTTATCCATTCCCCTGGGGATGATATGCCGTAGTGTGGCTTCTGTGAATGTCTAGCAAATCGCACAACTCCACAAAACCAACGAACTTTCAAATTGGCCACCTCTATCAGTGTGAATTTGGTACGGGACCCCGTGATCAGCAACCCATCCTGCCATAAACACTTTTGCTACAGACACAGCGTCTGCCTTGCGGAGGGGTACAGCGTTTGCCCACTTCGCAAAGTAGTCAAATTCAATTTTGAAAAAAAAACACTAGAATCTGGTCAATCTTATGCATGGCCTCCGTCAAAATCAACATCACAACAACATGCTGGTCGAAAAAAGAGGGGCTTTTGTGTACGTCAGCATTCGCACTTACATGTAACCGTAAAAAGCTAGAAAATGCACTTTTTGAGTACCAACCGTGCGATATTTCAGCGACTTATCGTGAACTGGTGTAACTGCTCAAATGTTGTTTGCATTTGTGAAAAGGAAAGCACAGTCACATGCAGCTACACTAATGTGACTGCGAACTGCTCTAACTGTGATGCGACAATGCTGGGGTCAGCAATTGCAGAAACACTCTCAGGTAGGTAGACCTAGTATGTGGAGTGTGCAGAAATAACGTGTCAGATGATTGCAACTTCAAAGGTCTCAGGGTGATAACTTTGAATAACTGGGTGCATAAATTGTGACTTATGCATGCAAGCCATGTGATATAGCAAACGAACACCCAACTGATATGAAGTGTAGCATTCTCGGAAGTGGCATATGAGGAAAGCGAAGTAAGTAGCCACCTGAGTCATTGCTATTTGTCATCTCATGCGTATTTGGCGATCGCATTGTCCGGATAATGCGAAAACAAACTGTGCTGGTTCCATGTGCGTAGCAGTCTCAGAGGTGCATAGGCGACCACACATTTAACAATGATCTATAACTTTATTCGGCGATGCACACCTTTGCAGCGATTTGTGTAGGACGTTTAACTAGCGATGCACCCTTTCGTTAGGGTCAGCTTAGATGTTCCTGACCACCACCTTGATGACTTTGTCAACGATTCTCCCACTGGATGCATATTACTTGAAGGAGCTTTCAATTAACGGGAACCTTTCTGGCCCTCTTTATTAGATTACTACGGTCTCTTGGCTCGGAACTCTGGAACAGGATTATTTCCTCTGTGAGTTATCTTTGTCTCCAAACAGATTAGATTATGCCCTCCTTTCTGAAAGAAGCCTGTCGCCGAGCCATCATGAGCCGAACCAAACGGAACGAAGATTCATGACGTCTTCCTTCAACCCCAGTCGCCTCTCTTCTCAACCATATCGTGACTTTTTTACACCTGAACAGGTTACGAAAAGGTTCCACGCATTTGACGCAGGCATTCGGCTCATCTATATCTGTGGTCTGTTACATGCATTCTGAGCGTCAACGCACGCATTATCTAAAATGGCTGAGTACAAACACAGAAAGGTGCCTGAGCGACCGTTTATGAACTCGAACAATCACTCGCTCAAATTCTCCGACGCGTATTCTTGCGTGCTTTCTTGCGCAAAATAACCCGATCCACTTTCGCCACAATTCTGCACTAACAGTCCTAGTAATGCGAGTCAAGTGGTTGGTTTATTTAGGTCAAATCAGATTAATCTGATTTGGCGCGGTCTTGCAATGGAACAATTCCTCTGTATTTTAGAAGTCCTGTTTCGCCAGTGGTTGTTTATAAAGCGC